TCTATATGGGAGAAAAATTCTGGGAAATAGGGATAAACATTATATCCCTAATTAGAAAGGTAACTGTCTATTATACAATTTCCTTCTTTATGGAGACCAATTGAGAGCAGCGATCTACCCTCCAGCTCTCTTTCCTGGGGATTCTATTTCTCTTCTCTAAACTTACTATGTTATTGTTAGCATAGCATAACTTATTTGCAAATTAATCTTACATGACTTAGAAATCTATGTACTGAATTTATTTATTTATTTAAATTACTTATTTATGGCTGTGTTGGGTCTTCGTTGCTGTGCACAGGCTTTCTTTTTTTTTTAGTTGCTGCGAGAGGGGGCTACTCTGCATTGTGGTGCATGGGCTTCTCATTGTGGTGGCTTCTCTTGTTGTGGAGCACGGGTTCTAGGTGCATGGGCTTCAGTAGTTGCAGCACGTGGGCTCAGCAGTTGCGGTGCGCGGCCCCTACAGTGTATGGGCATCAGTAGTTGTGGCGCACGGGCTTAGTTGCTCTGTGGCATGTGGGATCTTCCTGGACCAGGGCTCGAACCCGTGTCCTCTGCATTGGCAGGCAGATTCTTAACCACTGTGCCACCAGGGAAGCCCTATGTATTGCATTTTTTTAGAAAGGTATTTTAAAATTTATTTTGGTTGCATTGGGTCTTCGTTGCTGCACGTGGGCGTTCTCTAGTTGTGGCGAGTGAGGGCTACTCTTTGTTGTGGTGTGCGGGCTTCTTATTGTGGTGGCTTCTCTTGTTGTGGAGCACGGGCTCTAGGCGTGTGGGCTTCAGTAGTTATGGCACGTGGGCTCAGTAGTTGTGGCTTGTGGGCTCTAAAGCGCAGGCTCAGTAGTTGTGGTGCACGGGCTTAGTTGCTCCGCGGCATGTGGGATCTTCCCAGACCAGGACTTGAACCCGTGTCCCCTGCATTGGCAGGCAGGTTCTTAACCACTGTGCTGCCAGGGAAGTCCCTGTATTCAATTTTTGTTTAGAGTTTTAGTTCTTGTGTTTTCCAGGAAGTTATAACTTGTCCTTACATTTCCAGTGCAAGCTGTAGGTGCAAAATATTATCCTCCATATTCCATTGTTAATAATTCTATTCTGTCATTTTTCTTTCCATATTGTAATAATGTTTGAGCTTCTCAAGCCTGTTTATTCTTTCCCTGCAGTGTTAAACCAATGAAATTCCAATACTGAGCCTTTAAACTAGACACTTTCTAGCCACAGTTTTTATAAATTTTTACAAGCTAAAAAGGAGAAATGTTCCCTTTTTCTTTTCAATTACAAAAAGCAGATGATATTTTCATTGTTGAACAATTTTTGCAAATGTTTTACATAAAAGATGGATATGATATTTGAACTTTAGAGATTTTTATGTTCTATGAATTGTAATCTCTAAGAAGACTGTAATTCTGATTGTTTGCCTTGCTTACTCTGTGGTCCTGGCAGTAATATTTAAATGGATACATCTACTTCTAAAAGCAGAAATACTTGGGAGTTTTCCTTGTTGAGCCATAAGAAGGTTGTTGGCTCATCTCTTTTTCTACCACACACAGAGAGGTTAAAACAAATAAAACCCATGACTTAGTGGATTTCTCATTTAAACAGAGTTAAAAAGTCTAATATCCTCTCTGTGCCTCAGTTTATTCATCCTTCAAATGAGCATAATAAGGCACAGGGTCGTTATAAGATTAAATTAGCTATAACTGTGTCTGACTCAAAGCACCATGTAAATATTAGCTTGTTACAGTTCTGTGTGTTCCTGAGTGTGGTGTGCACACAGAGCAATGTGTACAAAGACGGTGCTGAATGAGACCGCTGTCAAGGTTTTGAAGAGAGATTGTGCTGTGAGGAGAAAGAACACTGATTTTGGGTCAAGAGACCAGCTTTTTTTTTTTTTTGTGGTACACGGGCCTCTCGCTGTTGTGGCCTCTCCCGTTGCGGAGCACAGGCTCCGGACGCGCAGGCCCAGCGTCCATGGCTCACGGGCCCAGTCGCTCCGCGGCATGTGGGATCTTCCCAGACCGGGGCACGAACCCGTGTCCCCTGCATCGGCAGGCAGACTCTCAACCACTGTGCCACCAGGGAAGCCCCAAGAGACCTGCTTTTGAGTCCAAAGTCATAGTCAGTAGATGTGGAGCTTTGAACAAATCATTTAGCCATTCTGAATCCCCTTCCCCTGATATGGAAAATCAGAGTAATAATAACATATCCTGACACTTAAGATTTCTTTGAAGATTCCCAGAATCAATGCATGTGAAAGTGCTTTGTGTCTGGGAAAGTGCTATGACAATGTGAATGCTGATTGTGATGAAATGACAGAGTCGTCCCCCAGTCTACAGTTTTTTTTTTGGCTGCACGGTGCCGTGTGCAGGATCTTAGTTCCTGGACCAGGTATCGAACCTGCACCCCCTGCTGTGGAAGTGTGGAGTCTTAACCGCTGGATGGCCAGGGATGTCCCCAGTCTACAGATTTTGAGCCAGGAGGAGGAAGTATGTTCTAGAAAGTATTTTAGAGTCAGTCTCCCAGGTTATAGTGACTTTCTTTTTTTTTTAAGTTTTTTTTTTCTTTTGATGTGGACCCTTTTTAGTCTTTTATTGAATTTGTTACAATATTGCGTCTGCTTTACGTTTTGGTTTTTGGCCTCGAGGCACGTGGGATCTTAGCTCCCTGACCGGGGATTGAACCTGCACCTCCTGCGTTGGAAGCTGAAGTCTTAACCACTGGACCACCAGGAAGTCCCTATAGTGACTTTTTAAGGCATCACTATTTTTAATTCAATGCTTTTTCATCAATAAACGTTTTTTTGAGAGACTGCTATGTGTCAGGCACTGTGCTAAATGTTGAGGATACAAAATCATTAAAACGATACGGAATTTGCTTTCAGGGAGTTTTTTGTAACTTTGTAGGGA